TCTTGCTGTCACTTTGAATTGCCGGCACCTTACAGTATGGTTGCTCTGTCTATAACAACCTGTATACTACGTATTCTGATATACTGGATTCTTTCCAAAGACTCACAGTTCGTATCATCACTATATGCTTTAACTGTAAAGTTGATTCTAACTCCCTTGTGAGTAGATTACAGCTGTCCGAAAAAAATTTAAGCTAGTACATTTTTTCCGTATTTTAAGCAGGCAATCAATTCACAATCCTCATGAACTTATAACACACAAACTTTACAGGCACTTACCTATACGATTTATTTACATAACAGTCAAAGAAACAGGCCCTGTTTCACCTTTCTCTTTTCCTGCTTTCAATAACAACAGTAAAGTTTACTGCTGTTAGTAAAAGCAAGAAAAGAAAAACAGTCATTTTTTACAGATTTCTTGAACTGATTCAGTATGCATAAATCTTATTTATGAAAAATTATTTTGAAAAATTGTTTTCTTTTTAAGGTAAACAGTAATAAAATTAGAGAAAGAAGACAAGAAAGAGATAGAGATTCACAAAAATTTAAGTATATAAAAAAATACTAAAATAAAAATTGACTTTACCGTAATGATTGTGTGAATTCGAGAATCTGAGTATTGTATGTAGTTATTCACCGCGCGTAATGTTCGGTGAGATCTGAACGTTCAAAACCGGATCGCACTTTAAATTTAATTTGTTTGTAATCTGTCAATTAACGCTTGAAATTCTGAACGATTAAACGATTGTAACTAATACACAGCAGGACGAGGTACAGATCAAATGCCAATGCTTGTTAATGAAATTAATTAATTTGATAATCAAATTTTAACGAGAAATCGCCACCGGTTTGGGCCTAATGGCCCTTTTCAAGCTAAGTCTCTGTCTATAACAATAAAATTACTAAAGAATACATATATAAGCCAACCGCTCCACAACGTTTCAATACTGGAAAATCTTGCAGCTACGAATAGCTCCGTTTTGGTAACTATTGTGGCGACATCTCACAAACCATGCTAGACGGAGTCAAATAAAGGATTTCTTTGCCATACTTTCACAAGATCAGCATCTACTAAAAGTTTAGTCAAGATCGGAGTTAGACTGTCAGAAATATGTTTCTGAGGGGTTGGGGCTTAAAAACTTCTCGTTTCTCAAGAAAAAATTTTAGAATTCGTTTTTGGTCGCTCGGTAAGTCTGGTAAGTCGAAAATTTAACAATATTGTTTAAACAATATTTTCTCCCCGTCAGAAACATAAATTTTTTTATAAAACGTCGATATTGAGCTAAGCACATTATCAGATAGCCCACAGCAGTGGCGTATTCAGGTAGTGGACAGTTGGGCAATTGCCCACCAGTCCAAAATTTATTGCCCACCAGTTGTTTTGAGATAATGGCAATTGCCCACGTGAAAAAATTTTGATACTCGTGTACGTTTGATGAATGAAATGATGTGGTTTTAATGAACTGTCTCAAGATGAAGTTTTTAAAAATTATTGCCTAACAGATTTTTCAACTGCCCATTGCTGCCCGCCTCTCAAAATAATTTGGCTGGAGAATTGCCCACTACTAAAAAATTCTTGGATACGCCACTGGCCCACAGTATCTACTATCACGATTTAATGTTATTTGGTTCTCGTCGAAGGGATATGTAGGTCTCAAGAAAAGTTTTCTGAAAAGCTTGAAAAATTGGATTTTAAAAAAGTTTTACTTTTCGATAATAAAACAAATCTAAAAATATTTTTAATAATACCGTCTACTAATAGCGTCTACTAAAAGTTTAGTCAAGATCGGAGTTAGACTGTCAGAAATATGTTTCTGAGGGGTTGGGGCTTAAAAACTTCTCGTTGCTCAAGAAAAAATTTTAGAATTCGTTTTTGGTCGCTCGGTAAGTCTAGAGAGAGAGCAAACATTTCTGATCAAAATGAGGTATCTCCCAGCTCTGAATGATATTCTGACCAAGAGTTATGAGAGTTTTGCTGGAAGCCCTAAAATATGCATCAGATACGGACGCCATCATAACTAGAAAGCGACTTTCGCCTTAACACCATTTGGTAGATCCCAAATTTCTCAGTAACGAAACGTCACAGAGAGTTCGGGAAGGTCTTAAATCGAAGCTGACACATGTGGCTAGAGGCTGGCAGAGCCCGGTTTTTGGTATATGGTCTAGATTTGTGAGTACAAAAACATCTTTACCAAAGTTAATGCGACTTTTTCGAATTTTGGACTTTTGACGCTGACCATTAATTTGAAAAGAAAAATATCAAAAATCCGGCTCTGTCAGCCTCTAGTTACACCTGTTTTCATCAATTTGAGACCAGCCTGAGCTCTCCACAACGTTGCGTTACTGAAAAATCTGGGAGCTACGAACAGCCCCATTTTGGTCACTGTTGTGGTGACATCTCACAAACCATGCGCGATGTAGTCAAACAAAAAATTTCGTCACCATACTTTCACAAAGTCAGCATCGCCTGAAAGTATGGTGAAAATCGGACTTATAGTTTCAGAAATAGGTTTCGGACGGGGGGCCTTAACTAATTAATTTTATTCTCAGCCAAATAATTTCAGTCAGCCGAAAAAACTTCTGAACATACACTTCGAAGTGTCCTCGACAAACCGGGAAGGCCTGAAGAAAAAATTCAAAACTTGAAAATATCGCTGGTTTTTGGCTCACCGACGCTTTTTTACCTAGCCTTGCGGCTAGTTTCGCCCGAACCAAGCATTTTGAAGCAAAACTTTGAGTGCAAAAGTTGTTCAGAATCGAATTTTGGAGCCGAAATTAAATTTTGATGGAGAAAATGGCGAAATACGGGCTTGATTTTGGGTAGATTCGTCATTTTTTCGACTTCGGATGGTCTCCAAAAACCATGTTTCACACGACTTTTTGAAAACAAATGTCATAGATATACACAACTCGGTGAGCTCTACAAGATCTACTACGTTATTTTTTGATGGCTTTTCAAAAAGTATAAAGTGGGTGGAGCTGTGTGGAAGGACCCGAACAATAATAGTACTTTGCGAAAATCCATTATTCTGACTACTATTTTGAATCTAAAATTTTTCTGAATATGTGATATTGTTCAGTCTTTTCTGCTCTTCGAATGAGATGTTGATCAAAAACTTTGAATGAAAATTGTCGATTTTATTGATCAAAAACTAAAAAAATGGCTATTTTTTTATTAAAGGAAAGAGTGCAAGTACACGAAAATCAAAAAGACAGCCAAATGTATATTTTGATTATACCGTTCCAGAAACATGGATACTACACATACAAAAAAAATCATCGTGATGAAAGGTTACTATGAGTATGATTTATTCAAAGAAGCATTTCCAGTTAAAGGAGAAAATACTGAGCTGATTGGTCTGAGCAAAACACTTATGAAAAAAGTAATAGGGCCGATAGTGGAGCCCAAAAATAAGAAGATTGTTTGCTTATTTCAAATTATCAGTGCTTGTTTTGTACAAATACGAAGTAAACATATCGACGATGATTGCAACTATAGAAAAAGCCGACAGGTATTTCTTCAAGTCAGTGATTAGCATAACTAAGTTCCATCATTTTCCATTTTATATTTATAGTTTGGCACTCATTCGAACAAATTCAAACAGCATTCAGATTTCTGATATTCTGAAATTATGTCTTTCTGGAGATTACAGAATTCTAAAAATCGGAAATTCTGACGGGTTAGGAGTTCAAAGTATAGTGACAATGTGAAATTCTGTAACTCTTAAATGTTTTATATTTTGAAGTTCCGTATAGTACAGATTGTCGAGAATTTCAAAGTTTGACGGGAAAGTCATCATTATACTGGAAAATGATAATTTGACAGCTCTGTATTATCTTCGGCAGGAGATACGTATAGTGCTCTCTTTCATGGCATACTGACAATCGGGAGAAGATTTATTTGATGAAGCCGTTGTATTTCTTTTAAATGGGGTAAACCAACTAGAATGGACTATATTCGACGAGAAGTAATGAAGCACAATGACTATTTTACTCTCTTTCATTAAGCCCCTTAAGAGAAAGCCCCTCCAGGTAGTGGAACCGCCTAAACACAGTTTTCTTAAATTATATTCAAATTAGGTAAAAAAAAAGCAAATTTTATTTTTTACGGTGACCACATGTATATGGATCCTCCATCCGCTTTTGTGGCTTGTATTTTTTTGGATTTTCTACTCTTACATCAATAAACGAGATTACCAAAAAAAAGCGAATGCTCTACAGGAAAGCTACGATTTAGGTTATGGGGATATTTTTATACTATTTTTATTAAACTAAAATAGATTCGGCTATAGCCTAGTTGGATTAGACATTCTATTATTCACTGTACATTCCTATTCCTATTCGGGTCTAGAACTTCACTGTATTATTCGCTGCAGAGGATTTTATTCTCTGTGTTGAAATAAAGATCCGTGTATCAATCTTCTTATGCATTATAAAAACCCTATATCATAGTTATCAACCGAAATTCATGTATAACAAAAAGGACTGTTGATAAATTTTAATTACGAGAGACCTGTATAAAGTGACCACAACGGTGATACACCGGCTCTAATGTTAAGGTGAATGCATCAAGTAATGCGGTAGTAGTGCATCATTACAAGATCAACCTTGACAAATTAACGCAAAGTACATTGCTAATTGGAAATAATGGCTAATCATATGAGACGTTACAAAACTGAGATCAGTCGGTAATTTCGCAGTTCGACAGAAACAGTTTTCGACAGTGTTTCGAGTCAAAACGCTTCTACACTGTCGAATTTCGAGCGAAAAATTTTCGGCAGACTAAAAATTCGACAGTGTCGAAAGTTTTCGCTCTAAATTCGACACTGTCGAAAGCCTGTCGAATTTCCATTGAAAAGTTTCAGATAGACACAAAAGGGTAAAGATGTAAAAGCGTAGGGTGTTTGGATAGGGATGGGCATGAGAGTGAGTCACCAGACCACGTTCAATGTCCAGCCACTAAAATTCGGGTCAATCCGGTGATTGATAGCTCTTATAGTAATGCGACTCCATATTACTTTCCCAAACGAATCAGGGTGGCCGTGGCCATCAAACATAGGTCGATAAGCAACCGGATGAGATTTTTGACTGATTTATTCGAACTTTCTGGTCGATCTGACATAACCGATCCAAAAATTCAACCCGTTCAACTGTTGAGAATCAAAGCAATGATTCCGGCTTTACTGTCCATACTGAGTCGTTAAAGATAGTTCAAGGTCTAGCAGTCAAAGTAATAACACGCAATTTCGACTATACGCATGATAATAAAGCAATGTTTTTTATTTATATTTTAGATTAACCAATTACTGCCGTATACTATGAAACTTACCAGTTTTAACCCTTTACCTACCTAGGGTAGGTACCCATGATCCATTCGTAGAATCGTTATAAAACGATAATGAAGCATGTGGTAAAAAATGGGTTGCTTTTGAGAGCAAGATAATTCCATCAGCTATTGATTGATAAAAAAGGATTTTCTTTCCATCACTTTCTGGTGCTTCATTATCCCTTTATAACGATTCTACAAATGGGTCGTGGGTGACCCCTTGGTAGGTAAAGGTTAAGCTCTGATGTTATAACACGTCTATGTCAACGTACCCTAGTCGTAGGAATAATCACTGTGTTCTGACAGTTGTGACAGTGTACTAAATATGAAACTGTTGAGTCGTCATTCTGCTGGCAAATCTCCAGGGACTGGAATCAACGGCTAGATGATTCTCTAGTCACTTTACCTACTGTGCACTGTTTTAAAAAAGCCTTAATGAGTGTTTTAAAACGTTAATATACATATCTTCTTCTTCTTATTGCTATTATTCATTTGTTGTCTCTTTATTCTTTGTTGTATCTATATATTTGTTTCTTTCCCGTTTTGTCTCATTTAATTGTTTATTTTCTTTCTCTCGTTCATTTTGCGTATGTGTGTGTATATGGTCATGAGGACAAAGCTCTAGACTATATGTCTACACAAACATCCCATTTTCTTTCTGAGAATCAATCTGCACATTTTGTTCTCCTGCCCATGAGTTTAATTCAAAAACCGCTAATTACGGCGTGATTTTTAAAGATTCTTAATTTTGGATCCGCTCATTCATGAGTCGCACCGCGACACGTCAAATTCATAATCAATGATTGTGGTAGAACCCATGGTTCTCTACCTATAATAAAAATTTTAGAAGGTCTGCTTTCGCCGCCACAGTGCGCATCCAGGCGGATATTAAGTGAAAAAGCGAAATCGACTTTTAAACGATGCAAATAGTGAACAATATACTTCAAGACATGTTATGTTCGATCGACCGGGTCTCTGGAGAACGCAGATGAAAGTCTCTTTGAACTTTGTAAAACACATCATTGGAAGGAGGATATTTGATAACCTATGAGAAAAGTGTTTATAGACTTTCGGACTATTTCTATAGCAGATGTTCACCTGGCCTATGAAAAAATGCACGCTGTGCGCCGTTCGCGATTTAGAAATCGCAGAATGCGAAAAGATAAAATTCCGTCACGCTTCACCAAGTCCAGCAACAAAAAGCTTACAGAAAAATATGAACTAGCTGGAAAACTAGTAAATGAATTTTGCTCAAATGACAACGATTTCGCTGATATGGTCAGTAATACAAATAACATTTCACATAATAATAAACAGTGTTGAAACGGAGAACATACCGAAGCAAATGTCAACAAAAAAGCTGTTGATTTTCTTAAATTATTTCATTTAGCTTTTATTAAAATTATTCAATGCAATATTCAAAGTTTATGTTCAAAATTGTATTCCATTCGAGAATAATTAGAGAAGATGAAAACAAGAACCATCATAAAGCCGGTAAAGAATTTTCGCTCAGTTAGTCGAATACCAACTTTTCGAAGAATGCCTCAAGGCTACTACCCTATTTTCTCTTCTTGCCAATGATCTCTTTTGTGCCGTATCTCTCCCGTCTGATAATAGCCTGGATTCTTTTCGAGCCGAAGTAACTGACATTCACACTTGGTCTGAAAAGATGCTTGTCAACTTGAATGTTGATAAGTGTTAGTGGATGATTTTCGACCGTAGACCTATTTCTCAATCTCCAGCTATTGTTAAGTCAGGAGAAATTCCCCTTGAGCGGGCGAGTGAGATCAAGCTGCTCGGGCTCTACATTTCTCATGACCCAGAATGGGCTAGTCACACTGAAAAAGTCGCGATGAAATGCAGACGAATACTTGGTGTGATACATCGGACTTTTCGAGACGCCCCTGCCAAATTGAAGAAACATCTCTATGAGACTTGTGCAAGACCTTTCTTTGAATATGAAGCAATTGTCTACGATAGCTCATATTCTACCCATTTAGAGTCCTTAAATACATTTCAGCGTCTTGCTGCTGGTATCATAAGTGGCGCCTTTGTCTCTCCTTCGTCAGAAGTTGCAGAAAATTGCCCACTCGAATGCTTGACGCGACAGAGAAAACTTGCCCAATTAAAATATTTCTGGAAAACCTTGATGGGATGCGCGGCTCTGGCACGTTTTCCCTTTATCTCTTTTCCAACAACACGGCATTCTCCTCGCAAACATTTATTTCAAAATATTGTGACACTTTCTTCTTTCCATTTATTTGTTTTAAAAATACAGCAGTTCCTCTAAGAACTAGTCATTTGTAGTTTGTAGTTTGTAATTTTTACTTTTGTGTGTGTATTTGTGTGCCATGGGGTAGGCGTTTATAAGCCTCCAGCTTTTGTCTATGCCTTTTCTCTTTGCCACCGAGAATAAATAAATAAACGAAGATTTTTAAAAGAAATCATAAATAAAAGAAATAAAAAAATAAAAAACAAACCGTTCATTTTGAAGAAGATAATCAGAAAGAAACTACATCAACAACCTCGAACCTTCTTCCCCAAAGACAAACATCAACAACAATAACAGGCAAAAAAACTTCTTCTCCAACGACAACAACTTCTTATACAGTTAAAAATCCGTTGTCTAATTCACACGTGAATAATAATAATAATAATAATTATTATAAAAATTCGAATTATGATAATAGCAATTAATATTCAAACCGTAATCGTCGTCCATATTCTTCGTTCTATTATTCAGGCTCAATAATTATAAATACGATAATAATAACTACGATAATCAATATTATTATTCTCCGTCGTACTCTCGTTTATATCGTTATAATAATAACCGTTATTATAATAACAGAAATAGATCGTCTTATTATAATAATCACCAAGAGCAACAGAGACTATTCTCTGATAATAGCAATAGTTATTATTATAACTTAAATAATCAAAATGAAACTCAAAATTCAAATAATAATTCATTTAATTCAAAAAAGTTCCAGGCTCAATTTCAACAGCCTGTACGTTTCCATCCTGCAGCGGCACAACAACAACAGCAGCTGCAACTTCAAGCAGATGCACAAACATTTATTCCACCATTAATGCAAACAATACCAAATTACCTACAACAACAACAAATCTATCCTCAAACGTCTATTCAGCAAAGTCCACAACAAC